AGCCTGTTGCTTGAGTGGATATTGCTTTTTATGTGGTAGGACTATTTGGGATCTTAGTTTTATGCGTATTGGTTCTGCTGATCTTACTATCCCTACATCTGTTTTATGCATAGACCACACTTGTTTTGGTACTTGTTCTAAAAGTTTTTCATGTTCTTCTAATAATGGTAATTGTGCTAATGGTCTGGGGCTTAATAATACTCTTTCTGCTTTTCCCTCATTGATTGATAATGTTGTTATTCTGAGGAACTGTTTATTATGTGAGATTTCAATCTCTTGGGTGTATGTTGAGCGCCATTCTTGCATCTGGGCTAATTTCACCATTGGACCAAGATCATGGGATTGATAACCATCCGCTATCAATAAGGTAACGTGAGGTACAGAGTTCTGGACTTGAAACCATTGTTGTAGTTTGTCTGGGAGGAATACTTCTGCTGCTACTCCTTGTGGTCCAATGTAAATACACTCACTTTCCACATAACCCTCTTTTTGGTTGACTACTGTTTCCCAGCAGATATCATAGTCTTCATGAGACCGTGTTTCATCATACATCAGAGTGCAATGTAATGGCAATTGTGGTTCTTGTGCTTTTTCAAACATTGACATTGCCCATTTCTTGTATAGCTCCCAGGTACTTGCTAATTGTGACTTTGATGGATGTAGCCATCTTATCCAATATACAACTGGGCAGATTTCTTTTCTTTTCTTTGGTTTCAGATCTAATGGCCAGTCTACTTGTTCTGACGACTGTACTGGCATCATTCCATGAGTTGTATCATCAGGGAAGTCGATCCATAGACCATCTTGAGAGCACATAATTTTTGCTTTTAATGGGCATAAAATGTCTCTTCCTAACAAGTTCTGAAGTCATTCAGCAGCTGCTCCACCCACCTGAGCACTCCCTCTTTATAATTCATGTCATCTGGCATCTCAGAGGTGTGTGAACATGTGTGTGTGTAATTAAACATCCATCACTGTCAAAAGGGATCATTATGGTCTTGCATCATCAGACTCCGAAGGAGCATGATCACTTTATGATTTGAAGATTTGCTCGCTGAATTATTTACTGCAGATTCTATTTAAGGTCACAATTAAACTCTGATCAAAGCTAGAATGGTGCTTACTGTCCCAGTTTGGTTTTCCTCACTGTGGTTGTATTGGTTTCTGCAGTGATCTGGAGAAAGGACTGTATGACAGAAAACTGACAGAAAGACCCAAAGCTGCTGACACTACAATCTCTGATCTATCCAATCTGCATTCTGCCATAGAAGCGTGAAATTAATCTTTTTTCAACTTTATTAAGCTATACATAGTTACTTCCATGTTCAGCAACATTACCATAAGAAAGGTTTACAGCCTCACAATTGCTTTGACAAATACACGTTTGAAACAACAGTAAGGCCACAACATTAAGATGGAGTCCCATATTTACAGATTTTTAGTAAGTTTTAGTTAAGTGATCTCAATTATTCTGTTTAATTAGAATTACATGAAGTCATCAAATGACATGAACCAGAAAGACTTATTATTGGTATTATCATTACTGGGAAAGTTATTTAACTTTCGGTGGATAACCACATAGTTAAATAACTGCCCTTGTTGAGGCAAAGTAAATCTATTTAAATATTTGGTGTAGAGTTTAACTTTGATAAGCAAATGCATGCTGGTGAAATGGAAGATGCTAGTTTATTAGTTATGTTGCAGCTACTTTAATTTACTTTTTTAACTACATACTTACATACCTACCCACTTTTATTTGACCCTCTGCCAGGGTATTAACATTTCCCCAAAATAGGTTTTTAAGCATTAATTAAACAGGAGTTGATAGCACAGATATCCTGTTGGATAAACTGTGTTAACTTATTGCCCTGTAGTGTCCAAGCTAACAGGTTTGCTAACAGACAATTATTGAAAAAGCACAGAGAGAGAAGAAAGAAGCTCGGAAAGATATTGGGTAACTAACCCTAGCATATTACCAACTTGCTAGTGGGGTAGCTGTTAGCTCGTCACCTACAGTAGGCTACTTCAAACTAACCCGACAAGTATTCAAATCTGTTATTTAAGTAGGTAAGTAAGTAAGTATTAAAGTATTTAGTTTGGTTTATTGTTAATGGACATTGTTTTTAACTTACACCACAAACTATTTATAGTACTCTTATAACCGTATTAAGTTGTCAGATATTGAGATGGCAATCTTTCCCACTGCTACCATCCAACCCACACAGCACACCTGTGTACCATAGGTGTGTAGGGCTTTTACAGTACGTATAATGCTACAACAAATATGTTTGGAGCTAAAAACAACATATTGTGCTGTTTGGTAGAATTCGTTAAACTCTTGTTGAGTCTGTCTCTGTTTATTTCATTTTAAAGTCTCTTGTGTTCTCCCTGCTCTTAGATGAGGTGGAAAAGAGAGTGTATGACTTCTTTCGCACTCCAGAGAAAACGTGCTGTTGGAAAATGCATCAACTTTGTTCAGGCACAACGCCTCAGAACACTGAGGCCCTGGAAGAGTTTACTCAGGCAAGCATGTGTGTGCGTGCATTCAGACTCAGACATTATTCTTTCAGTAGGACAACAATATTATCTCGATCTATACAAACAGCTGGACGGCTGAATCCTTGACAGTTTAGCTATGTGTCTGTGTAAACCTTTGAAACAATACAAACACAACCGAGCTATGCAGTTTCAAATCTTATCATTGCATCATGTAAATAAACCCAGAGTCAAACAATGCAGTCATCGCTGTCAGTGGGTGATGGTCAGTGATGTTGACATTGCTGTCGACACTCAGTCTAATCTTCCAGTGGCTGGACTGTGAGGCACAAAGCCGGAAATGACAAATTCAGTGACCACAAAACAATCACAGTATCATTACTGACTCCACCTTAACAATCAAATAGTTAGATATCAGGCAATATTTATTCCATCTAAAACTGTCCAGGAAATGAAACAAGAGTTTTTTGTTTCTTCTGAGAGGCAAAACAACAGGGTTTAGGGACACAAACAGAGGAGACAATTGTTCACTGTGCCGTGAGGGGACACAACGCAGTGCAGTTGCCCTCAAGGATGGCTTTTCACAACGTCTCCATGGCCAGCTTCTTGGAGGCAGGAAGGATATTAAAGCTTTTTCCCAGAGTTGACAGAAGAATACAGGGAAGTGGGTTGACCCAGTGGTTTTGACCAAAAGCGGTGCAGGAAGTGCGAGAGTGCCATGCTTCCACGCAGAGCTGCACTGTTGTGACGGGTGAGCGGGTGCTGGCAGGGCACAAAGCACTGCGGCTCAACTGTGGCTTCTCAAGGTTGATGTCAATTTCTGGCATTGTATTATAGTTATTTTTTGCCAGCATTGTAATATAGAAACTTTTGAATTTTTGCTTGATAGTTTTTTCTAAACATACACTGGCTTAAACTGCAGAATGGCCAAAAGTCTGCAGGCTTTCGTTCTACCAATCATCTCAGCAGGTGATTTCACTTATGAGATCCTTCCCTCTACAATAATCATATATATATAAAATATAAATATAAATAAATATATAAA